GCATGCCAAATTTCAAGCTTCTATCTTAAGCAGTTTAGATTTTTTCATACATATGTTTTTTCCCGCTAACTCCCGTTCCCGTAGGAATTTTACGATATCCTGTTGTACCTAAGCTTTAAATTTACTAAGGTAGGTCTGTCAGTCAGTTTCTCCTTTTATATATTTAGATTATTGAATTAGAAACTCACTTCCCAATGTTCGTGTTTTACTTAACACTTAGATAAAAATAGGTTTTTAAATGTGACGTCATGAAATTTAGGAGCCCTAACCCCCTTGTCATACTTTGTCAATCCCCTCCCACCCCCCTAAGGTGTGACGTAATTTAAGAATGTCCCCTAAGCAATAATTCCTGAAAGCACCTTCGATAACAGAACACAAAATTTTTGCTATGAACCCTGCAGTTCTCAATCAACTGTATTTATTTATTATTTTACGACTCGCCACGGCTTCGCATGGGTGCTAAGTATGCGTAATAAAACTTCCTCTTGAATCACTCATCTATTAAAAAAAACCGCATCATTTGTTGCGTAGTAGTTTTAAAAATCTAACGCTGAGTTGCAACATCTACCTTTGACTGTAACTATAACGATAATAGTGGGCTTAGTGTGAGTTTACATTAAACGCCGTCAATAGCGTGCGCGTTAAATAATCATGAAGATTTTAGTTCTTGAAAGTTACCGCTAGGGGCGCTATACAATCTGTCATACATTTAATGTCACTTTTTTACGCAGTCGACATCGAATGCGTTTGACGTAAACTCACTACGCCCCCTGGTGTTTTTTGTACAGACATACATAGGGACAGACAGGAAAGCGACTGTTTTATAATATGTAATGATAGTGATTTTTCTCTTTTCCAGCAACTAGTAGTAAAGCCGGACCAGCTCATAAAGCGTCGCGGCAAGCTCGGTCTGGTCGGCGTGAACAAGACAGCGTCCGAAGTCAGACGATGGCTGGGCGAGCACATGAACAAGTCACAGCAAGTCGGCGCGGCCACGGGCAAGCTGCGGCATTTCATAGTGGAGCCGTTCGTGCGGCACGAGCCGGTGAGTGCTGTCGCAGTCACTGAAGCCTGGTCCGTGAGCACGTAGAATCCCGTCCAATGACCCCAAGCTACCCATCCTTATCGCTCGCGCGTAATTATATTGCTGTCGCGACTGTGCGACGCGCGCCCGCAGTGAGTGTGCGAGCGCGACCGCAACATAATTACGTGCGAGCGACAAGGATGGGCAGCTTGGGGTCATTGGACGGGATTCTACGTGCTCACGGACCAGGCTTTACGCTGGCGGTAGAGAGAGACGGCGGGTGTAGCGCTCAACTCTGAACACGCGTCCGAGGTCAGGCGATGGCTGGGCGAGCACATGAACAAGTCACAGCAAGTCGGTGCGGCCACGGGCAAGCTGCGGCATTTCATAGTGGAGCCGTTCGTGCGGCACGAGCCGGTGAGTGCTGTCGCAGTCACTAAAGCAGCAGTTCCCAAACTTATTTAGTTTACTGCCCACTTTGAGAATAAATTATTTTTTAGCGCCCCCCATTTTTGTAGTCAAGAGTCGAGCTCAGTCGGTGTCTAAGAGTCCTCCTAGTAGATGACGTCTCCCAAGCCTCTACACAACGTTCCGATTTTTTTTCTGGGTCTCTTACCGCCCCCCTTTAAGCCTGCAGCGCCCACAAGGGGGCGTTATCGCCCACTTTGGGAAAGACTGCACTAAAGCCTGGTCCGTGAGCACGTAGAATCCCGTCCAATGACCCCAAGCTACCCATCCTTATCGCTCGCGCGTAATTATATTGCTGTCGCGACTGTGCGACACAATGCCCGCAGTGAGTGTGCGAGCGCGACCGCAACATAATTACGTGCGAGCGACAAGGATGGGCAGCTTGGGGTCATTGGACGGGATTCTACGTGCTCACGGACCAGGCTTTACACTGGCGGTAGAGAGAGACGGCGGGTGTAGCGCTCAACTCGTGAACAAGGCGCAGCAAGTCGGCGCTTCATAGTGGAGCCGTTCGTGCGGCACGAGCCGGTGAGTGCTGTCGCAGTCACTCCACTGGCGGTAGAGAGAGACAGTCGGTGCTAGAGTGTTTTTGGGATGTCAAACGTCAGCGAGACTTCAAATGTGCTTCAGATTTGTTTGACGTCATTTTTTTGGAGACAGGCACTGTAGGTCTAGCGCCTAACCCAGTTAGTGTTAAGCGCTAGAGGGTGGTTTTGGGACGTCAAACGTCAGCGAGACTTAAAATGTTCAGATTTGTCTGACGTCATAATATGTCAATTTCACCCCTCCAGTGTCGCTCCCATATCTCAGACACTGACTTAGTTAAGCTCTAGACCTATAGACTGGCGATAAGAGGATAAGTAGAGACACTGTCGCTTAATTCAGTCAGTGTCGGGAGTGTGTTTTTAGGACGTCAAACATTAGCGAGACTTCAAATGTGCTTCAGATTTGTATACTCGGCCACGTCATAATGTTAATGTCATTCTGGTAAGGGCACATAATAATAATACGTAAAACTTGCGGCCGATGGGACAGCAAGGTTCTGGAGTGGAGGCCACGTACTGGAAATCAACGACCTCATGGATTTAGCAAGAAGGCGCTGGACGCAAGTCCGGTACGTAAAACTGTTACCAGAGATATTAAGGGGTGTCACCGTAAAATTATGGACATCTTTAGTTTATAATGTAAAGCGTGAGAATGTAAACTAACAGTCTAACCTAACTCAGGTTAGATTATAAATCTAACTAAAGTATGGACAACGAGAAGCGATACAAAAGGTTGATTCAACTTTTGAATTGACAATCTATTCTGTCTCTTTCCATCTTGTGTATTTGTCGTAATGTCTCGTTCTCCCGCCATAATATGTCAAAGTAAAACCCTTAGGCTGGGTTGCACCATCTTACTTTAACTTTGACAAACGTCTAAAATCTGTCAAATTCCATACAAAAAACACCGGTTATCGTCATAGTTACCGTTAAGGATAGGTGGTGCAACCCAGCCCTACTATTCCAAATTACAATGCAATGACATTGGGTTTGTTTACATTTGGTATCGCTTCTCGTTGGCCGTACTTTACGTCAGATTAAATTCTGACGGAGTTTATTTTTACGATGAATCAGGCGGAGGCAGCTGCCCTCTATTACTTACGCCCATGGCATTGTAATTATGTAGAAGTATTTTTTGATAACTATCATTCAAACCTACTTTTATTCTTCTTGCAGAACGAAGAGATGTACCTCTGCATCCAGTCGGGAAGGCGCTCCGATACCATCCTGTTCCACCACCAGGGTGGAGTCGACGTTGGTGACGTAGACGCCCTGGCTATCAGGCTCGAGGTGAGTCGATACAAAATGCTTTGTATTATTTTTCTTTTTCTTTTTCTTTTTCTTTTTCTTTTTCTTTTTCTTTTCCTTTTCCTTTTCCTTTTCCTTTTCCTTTTCCTTTTCCTTTTCTTTTTCTTTTTTTTTTCTTTTTGTTTTTCTTTTTGTTTTTCTTTTTCCTTTCTTTTTCTTATGTTTCTACTTATATTCTTCCGCTATGGACATAATGTATGTAACAATAATTCAAGCTTTGCTTAGTTTGGTACTATTTCAGTTGCGCTCTTTTCACAAATAGGGAGTCGAAAAAAATACATTTTCCATTTGTTAAATAAAAAATAAAAATAAATACATTTTACTAGTCACTCTTGAGAACTACGCATGCTGAAAAATTCAATTTTTTTTTAAGTAAATATTTAATAAAAGTTATTTTGATGATATTTTTTCCTTGGGGACCATTATTATTTAACTTCAGAATATTAGTGGGCATTGAAATAATTACAGATCCCCGTTGACACTTTTCCATCTGGAGAAGACATCGAACGCACTCTGCTGAAGAACGTCAAAGCCGCCAACATCAAGAGGTAAGGAATAAGTCTCTAATAAATAAAAAATACTAGCTTTTGCCCGCGCCTTCGTCCGGTCTGACACAGAGTATTATCGCGCGCGTGTCCGTAGATTAACAAATAACATATTTGACCTTCCTTCTTTTGGAATTTGAATTGGAGCAGTCAAATAAACTCATAAAACTTATTTATTTTTGCAAATAGGCTTTTAAAAGGCACTTTTACACGTCCCAATATTAACCCTACCACTGCTTCGGGACAATAAATGGGCCAGTGCTGAGAAGAAGCAGCGCAAATAACTCAGTCACTATTACCTACATAAATAGCCCACCAATGGGGCATCCTGTATATTGGTAAAGAAAGAGGGAATGAGTGATAGTTTGAGACCAGTGAACCTATTACCACAGAATAATAATAAGTACTACGTACAGAAGTTTTACTTCGAGAAGGTATTTAAAAAATGTATGCTCAATGTCATTAACAATATGGTGTAATTTAGCCTGTCTCAAGAGTCAAGCACCATTTTGTTGACAAACGTCAGTGATCGGCACTGCGCCGAAGCTATAGGGCTGACTTCGGTAAAATGATGTGACGTGAGGTGCCAAACTGCGGAAAATGGCGGAGGAAAACCATGATTTAGCATTAATTATCATGAATAATATTAACTAGGTACTTATTTACCTCTCAGTGTCTTGAGGCAACTTAAAAAAGC